AAGGGGGAGGGGAAGGGGGTTCCGAAATAAATAGGGAGAGAGTGGGAGGCGGATAGAAGAGGGATAGAGGAGAGGATAGGTGGAGAGGAAACAAACAGGTCGAAGAGGCGGGGATGGCCTTCCCCTCCCCCTTTTCTGATGAAGGGTCTAGGCCCGAAACGTCAGCCCCTCTGCTCCTATGATGCTGCTTGGCCTGCAGTGTTCATCCAGCCCTGCACCTTGTTGTCTCGGATTCTCCAGCATCTGCAGTTCCTGCTGCTTTAAAGTTGAAATTATGCCTTTCCTCTCTGGCTGTAGGATATTCCCTGTGGGTAGGTATTCAGCTACAGGATGTTCCTTGCCTATAGATAAGGTATTTGCATATCATTGCTTAAGACTCCATGTCACTCAGCACTTTGTTCCATTTAAAAACATGGGAGTACCTAAAGGTGCTTACACACATGTCATAACCTGGTGCTCTGTTCCTCTTGTGACATTCTGTAATGTAACACAGTATGCAATAATAGCTTGAGTTGACAATAACATTTGTAAGAGACAGTCTTGACTGGTTGAGTGGGGAATAATTGGGGCAGATGGAGCATAAAGTGAGAAAATGTGAATTAGTCCATTTTGGCAGGAAAAATTATAAAAACGGAGAAAGAATGCTGAATACTACAGTACAAAGGGATCTAGATGCCCTGAAAGAAGAATCACAAAAGTTGGAGGGGAGGTACTAAGAGGAAGAGACAGTAAAGTGGAGTTGAGATCACAGTCAGATCAACCAAGATCCCATTAAATACTGGAGCGTGTTTGAAGGGACAAATGATCTAGTCTGGCGTAGAATCAATGGGCCGAAGGGCCTGTTTCTGCACCGTAGAGATTCTACTCCTGCTTCTAAGTCTAGTGTTCCTTTGCTGATGTGGTAACATGGCACTTCACGAATGTCATCAACACCAAGTCACTTAAGGAGTTAACAGGACAGATGACCAAAAGCTTAGTCAAGAAAATGGATTTTAGGCAGCTTCTTAAGAAAAAAGAGAAGGGTAAGGGGCAGGAGCAGGGATTCTAGAGTTTTAGAACCGCAAGCCACCAGTGGTGGTGTGATTAAAATCAGGGATATTTAGAACTGGAAGAGCACTCAGATCTCGAGGCTTGTAAACTGAATGGGATTACAAAAATAGATGATGTTACAAAGGGCTATAAGTTTGCAGGTAGGAAATTGCATGGGGGAGACAAAAGTCATTCTATAGTAAAGGGTAGTACGCAAAGAGATTTGCAGAGACTAAAGAACCGAGCTGGTGGAATTTCTGTAGACTGTCATTGTTTCTCATTCTTATACGTCATCTTATTTAATAAATGAGATGACAGTAAAGGTCTTGAAGAGAAGTTTCTTTTTGTTTTCAGTTAGTTTCACCCACATCCTGAAAACAGTCACATTTGTTAATTGCTAGTTAAGAACAGAACAAAATAGAAACCATATGACCCTACAACCCCACCTCATCATTCAATAAAGTTATAACCAAATGTCTTCGATTCCATTCTCCTCTTCTATTATTATACGTATCCTTGGTAGAACTCATTCTTACATACTTCCTCCAAGGGATATAAGTTCCAAAGAGTGACAATCCACTTGAGGGAAGAAATCTTGTTCCCCTCAGTTTTAAGTGGTTAATTCCGTATCCTATGGCTCTGATCCTTTGTTCCAGACTTCTTAGCCAGTGGAAACAATCCGTCCTGTATCCCTCTAAGAATTTATTAAAATGCAGAGAATATAGACCATTCTAGATCATCGTTCCTGCTCATAGAACAGCACTCCGATCCTGGGAATCAATCAAATTATTAATTGGCTTGCCAAGTCACTTCAAAGAGTACTGAGAATATGGAAATGCACGAAACTAAACTCCTGAAGTCATGGATATTACCTTCTTTCTGGAGATGTTTGGGATCTCACAACAATCCAACATAATTTTTCAGGGGCTTGTGAGATCTGTTACAATTAGGCAGACTTGAATTTGAACTCTACCCCTGGATTGATGACCCAGTACCATAATCATAGGCTCCTATACCTTTAACGTTTTTGTGTTTGAGATTATGGAAAGCATATATTAGTTTGTTGGTGGGTTGGGGATGACAGAGAATGCTAAATGTGAGTGGTGATGAGTTCCTTTTAAAAGTTATAGCTGCTGTTACAGTGCCGTTACAATGAATCAGCATACTTCAGACTGATGTAGGACTATCACCACTTCATGCGTCCATTGGTTTGCCTTCCTCATGGGGTCATTCTGAGTGGGAACGTACATATTATGAACCTTTTTCAGTGGCATGCTCTTCTGAAATGTTTACAATCTTCAGAGAATGCATGTAGCTTTAACAGAAGACTGTAATTTTTTTGAGTGTTCCTCAATCACGTAATTGCAGGTGCTGTGAAAATTAGACTGCAGTGCCCTGGAAAATGAACTGTTTGGTGTAGCAATTGATCAGAAACTACTGAATAATGCCATCTGTTACAAGTTATCAAAGATTTGATGCATTGCTAGTTGAAAGATTGTACGTAGGGATTCATACAGGTACAGCTTCACCAGTTAAGATCAAAATTTTGAGGGCTTTTAATAGTAGCTTGCAGAAGGCCATAGTGAAATATTATTTTTTTGGTATCACATCCCAGCTTGACTGCTGAATAGTTTTTGTTTCACGCAGCAGTTTCCTGTGCTTTATTTCAGGGCACTGGCTCTTAATTGTGATGCTGTGCTGAATGATGAGGTTGGAGCCGAAGCCAAAGATTGGAAAGCTGGAAAATCGGTCCGTGTTGTCAGGAGTTCAAAAGGTCGGAAGGTCAGCAAATACGCACCGGAGGAAGGCAACAGATACGATGGAATTTACAAGGTGCTGTTTCATTCGAGGTGGCTCACACCTTCGCAATAGGCCAGGATTCAATCCCGGCATAGACGTGATTGCATTGCATTGCTAAATAGCAGTTAACTCCGCAGTGCTGAGTCGTTCCAGTTTGAACACTACCACTTCATCTCCAACATCTCTTACCTCTCCTGTTGGAGTTTCTTCAGTCAGGTGTTTATCCCTGCCACAGCCCCAAAACAGTTCTCATTAAGATCATAAATTGCATCCTACATGACTCTGATAATGGCCCCTTCTCAAACTCATTGTGACCGTTGACACAGTTAACCACACCATGCTTTGCCATCCCTTCATCATTCTCTTTCTCCAAAGCATTGAAACATCCCTATTGTAAAATCAAATACTTGACCTGCTTTCAAGAAGCTGCCAATAAGATTATAAAAACTTTTGAGTTGGACGTGGCTGGCTCATATGCTGACTTTAACTCCTTTAACTGATTCCTAATTGTCACCTCCAGCAATGATGTACTAGCATTGGGAATTCACCAACTATTGGGAGGAAGTTATGGGGTCTCTGAGCACAATCTGTCATTCCTCCAGGAGTGAAACCTGAGGATTGATGATCTGCCCACATGGTAAAAAACTACTTGAAAAGTGGAGAGAAATAATCTGAATAATTCAAGACCAGTTTGCTTAACTTTGGTTGTGGACAAATGATTGGAAGTAGTTCAAAAGGATGATATCAACAATCATTTACAAAGGTGTAGATTAATCAGGGAAAAGTCAACATAAATTTGTTAGGGGAAAGTCATACCTGACTAACTTAATTGAATATTTTGAGGTGTGATAGGGTTGTTGACAGCAGTGCAGTGGTTGTTGTCTGCGTGGATTTTAGAAAAGCTTTGATGGTGTTCTACATGACAGATTGGTCAAAATCCTTGGGGTCTGGGGAGATTGGCAGATTCAATGCAAAATTGGCTCCACAGTGAGAAGCAAAGATTGGCAGGTGCTTGTGCAATTGAAAAGTTGTTTCCATTGGGATTTTACAGAGCTCAGTACTGAGTCAAAAATAGAAAGTGCTGGAGAAATTCAGCAGATCTGGCAGCATCTGTGAACAGAAAAGCTGAGCTAACATTTTAAATCCAGTGGCCTCTTGTCAGACCTGAAAGCAGCTAGGAAATACTAGTATTTTTGCTGATAATGGGGGTGGCTGATGTGGAGAGGTGGGGGAAAGAGTGAGATGAATAGATGGATCTAGCGCCCAAACAGAAGGAGGGAGAAAAAGCACACAAAGGGATTGGTGATTGTAAGCTGGGGAAGAAGAAAATGCTGAATAGTTGACAACGGGAACTGTGAATAGTTGAAAATGTGTTGGCTGTGCTGGGAGCAACCCAAACAGAATGAATTTGAAATTTGTTCATTATCTAACCCTACTTGGACTTGGTGATGTAGGGTTAGATAATGAATGAATTTCAAATTTGTTTAATTTAACAAGTCCTTTAAGAGTGTTGCCTTGCCTACATTTCTGGATGTCGTGCGAGAAAATAGTGTGAGACTGTTCACAATCAGGATGGGCAGAATAGCCTCTTGTGTTGTTAACTGTGAACTTCCTTGATCTACAATGTACCTCTCTGTGGGTCAACGCATTGATGCAGGACCTCCCTTTCCTCAAAAATTGTTTGTGCTGACTATGTACAATGAAACAGGTTGAAACATGTCTTGATAGAAACGACACACATGACAGGCAAGTTTTCTTTGGTATCTTGTTAAAAATGTGCAATCAAATTAACTAGCCAAGTTGTAACCTGTTGAGTCAAAAAACTTAGTCTTTTCAAGCAGCTATTGGATGAATAGTCAAGTTTCTTACCACTGCTTTGGTGGAAGAATGAAGAATTGCTGAAATGTTTGAAACAAGAAAATACAGAAATTGCACCCAGAATGCAATGTACTAATGAGACTGTTGTCCTAACCTAGGTGGTGAAATACTGGCCTGAAATTGGAAAGTCAGGTTTCCTGGTGTGGCGCTATCTGTTGCGACGTGATGATGTAGAACCTGCTCCTTGGACCCCAGAAGGAAAGGACAGGACAAAGAAGCTAGGGTTGAAAATGCAGGTCGGGGCTTTGTGTTGTTTTGTTTTGATTGCTGTAAACTGTTACTAATAAAAAGATACAACCACTATTTTAATTTCATGTAATATTCCATGACAGTATCCTGAAGGATACCTGGAAGCCATGGCAAATAAGGAGAAAAAGGGCAAGAAACAGAAGCGGCCCTCAGTCATGAACAATTGTAGAAGAACAACTCAAAAGAGGCGACAGGAAAATGGTATGTTCTGCAGTCACTGAGCTTCGTGATCCTAGGGCAACCCATAGATATCACACCAGCTTTCACTGTGGTAGTTATGTGAAACAAGTTTTAATAAAACATTTGTCAGATTTGAAATCCCGTGCAGCGATACACTAACTGGGGCAGCATTAAGTGGAGTTAAGTGGAGATGTTAGCGGAGGGGGGAGAATGTTTGTTCGTGGCACTACACAAACTACACAAATCTATTAAGCATGGGCAGTGCTGCGCGGGGAGTGGGAGGGAGTGCTTCCTCATCATGGGAGCGCTGAAGATGAGAAGGAGTTGTCGTTTTACAAAGGATTTAGCCTTGTTGTTTTACTTGTCTGATGTAGCCGGCTCTGCCACGGTGACTACGCCACCACCTCCAAAGACTGCAAAGCCTTCTCAGGATGATGCTGAGGGAGAAACTTATCAGCTCACACCACAGCAGCAGTGGCTGATCAGAGAGGACTGCTTGAATAAGAAACTTTGGGATGAGGCACTTGCCTCTCTTATGGAAGGCCCGGTATGTTTCCAAGACAGGATTTGCCCAAAAGTATTATGTCTGTCTTCAAATGTTATGCCATTCGTTCACAACTTCTCTTTTTGTCTGTCTCCATGCACAGAAATTCTTAAGGAAGACCGAGCAGATCTTCATGTGTATTTGCTGCCAGGAGTTGGTTTTCCAGCCAATCACAACAGAATGCCAGCACAATGTTTGCAAGGTGAGTCGTCCAACTATCCGTCACGTCGTGTCACTGGGTTAGTGACCCAGAGGGTCAGATTAATGATCGGGGCTTCAAATCTCAATATGGCACTGGTGGAGGGTAAATTCAATGAATAAAATCTGGAATTGAAAGCTGAATTCAGTGATAGCAACCATCACAACAGCCATCAATACTCATCTGATTTGCTGATGCCTTCAGGGAAGGAAATCTGCTATCCATTACCTGGTCTGGCCTACACGTGGCTCCACATCCACAGCAATGTGGTTGACTTTTAACTGTTTTCTGAGGTGGCGTAGAGAGCTAGTCGAAGGGCAACTAGGGAAAGACAACAAATGCTGTCCTTGCCAGTGACATATACATCCCATAAAGAAGTAACTAAATAACATTGCTGAACTATGTGAAGTTAGCTGATCTCAGCCAGGTTGCAGTAGGATGCTACAGTTAGCTTCAGAATTTCTTGGGAAAGTGAGAGGATAAAATTAGTTTGGATTCCATATTAAAATTTCTCATGTAGGTAGGATGGGCTTCTGTAATGATGCCCATTAGCATTGAATAGTTTTTTTTATTATTCTCTGTAAGGATTCTCTTACCGTCAGTTGCTACTTGTATGATTTGGTTTGATAAATTGGAGCAAACAACCTTCAGGTAGCAGAGGGAAGAACTACATGTCATTTTACTTTAATAAGAAATGATCTGCGTGATTGTAAGGCTGACACAACAAGTTGAGCTGAGTTTTTAAAATTTCATCAACTTGGAGAACTGCTGTCAAGGTATAAAGACCTTTTTTTAAAAAAGTCATCATTGTGAAAATTGAATTTTCTTTTGAATGCTGTGATACATATTTTTGGTGAGTGTAAGCTCTAATAGAGAATCATAGAGTCACACAGCATGGAAATAGACTCTTCTGCCCAACTCATCCATGCTAACCAGGTTTCCTAAACTGAATTAGTTCTATTTGTATTGTAGCTTGCCAGCATTATTCTTTTGAGACTGTAGTGAGTTCATATCGACCAGGCTTGTCCAACAGGCAGCCCGCAGGCCAACATGTGTATGTGGCCTACGAGCCACAATGCAGCCCATCATGGCTGTGTGCACGGTCCATGAGGCTTAGCATCAAGACACATGGAACCGGTGAGGAAGTGGATTTGAATCAATCACCAATTATTTACTCGCCACATCTGCTTCTGTTAGGCTCAGCAATGAAGCAAGATTGTGAGAGAGTGGAGTGGAGGTAACCAGAAAGTCCACCGTGTGGAAAACGTTCAAGTCTATGAGAGTGCTAGGGGCAAAGAGTGAGAGGAAGGGCATGAGATTCTGAGGGGGAGAGAGGGTATCAGCATGAGAGGGAGGGAGGGAGTGCATGAGACACAGAACGACAAAGGAGGGGGGTGGGTGCATGTGACGGATGTTCTGAGAGGGAAAGTGAGGACAGGAGTGCGCAAGGGAAAGACGTAGAAGTGAACCTTGAGAGTGAGGGAGAATACACACCTCTACTCTAGGCTATTTCCTCCTCCTTTCTCCCAAAAATCTGTTCATAAGGCAGGCTGGGAGAGGGAGGAATTCCAGGTTAAAAGACAACCTGCTTCTGACCACCTGTTTGGGTGAATTCTGCTGAAGTCAGCTTGGAGAGTGCATCACCAGAAACAAGGTTGATGTTAGTTAGACCCAAAGCCACAGCTCCGCCCTGGTCCCCACTCCCTTCCCTAGAGAAGCGAGTATGTAAGGATATCTGTAAGAATAACAGGCTTGTAATGGTAGGGGATTTTAACATTCCAAACATAGGCTGCGACTGCCATAGTGTTAAGGGCTTGGATGGAGAGGAATTTGTTAATTGTGTATGAGAATATTTTCTTATTTAATATGTTAATCTACCTACTAGAGCAGGAAACTTGACCTTCTCTTGGGAAATAAGGCAGGGCAAGCAACTGAAGTGTCAGTAGGGAATTACTTTGGGGCAAGTAATCAAAATTCAATTAGTTTTAAAATAGTTATGGAAAAGGATAGACCCAATCTAAAAGTTAAAAGTTCCAAATTGGAGTAAGGCCAATTTTGATGGTATTGGGCAGGAAATTTCAAAAGTTGACTGGGTGAGGCTGTTTCCAGGTAAAGGGACAGTTGGAAAGTGAGAGACTTTCAGCAGTGAACTAACGAGAGTTCAGGGCCAGCATGTTCCAAATAGTGCAAAGGGCAAGGCTGGTAGGTGTAGGGAATGCTGGATGACTGGAGATATTGAGGCTCTGGTCAAGACTAAGAAGGAGGCATACGTCACCCATAGACAGCTGAGATCAAATGAATCTCTTGAAGAGTATAGGGTGTAGGAGTATACTTAAGAGAGAAATCATGAGGGCACAAATGGGACATAAGATAGCTTTGGCAAATAGGGTTAAGGAGAATTTAAAGAGATTCTACAAATACATTAAGAGTAGAAGAGTAACTAAGGAGAGAATAGGGCCCCTTAAAGAACAATGAGGCTGTCTATGTGTGGAACCACAGGAGATTGGTGAGATACTAAACAAATATTTTGCATCAGTATTTACTGTAGAGAAGGACATAGAAGCTAGGGAACTTGGGGAAATAAATAGCGGGAAGCTAAAGAAGAGATTGCAAGGCCCCTTGCTGAAATATTTATATCATCAACAGCCATGAATGAGGTATCAGAAGACTGGAGGGTGGCTAATGCGGTGCCATTAGTTAAGAATGATGGTAAGGAAAAGTCAGAGAACTATAGACCTGACATCAGTGGTGAGTATGTTGTTGGAGAGAGTTCTGAGGGACAGGAATGACTTGCATTTGGAGAGGCTGGACTGATTAGGGATGGTCAACATGGCTTTGTGTATGGGAAATCATGTCTCACTAATTTGATTTTTTGAAGAGGTGACAAAGAAGTTTGATGAAGGCAGAGAGGTAAATGTTGTCTATATGACTTCAATAATGCATTTAACAAGGTCGAACCTCATGGTAGACAAGTAGGTAAGGTTAGATCACATAGGATCCAGGGAGAGGTAGCCAATTGGATACAAAATTGGCTTAAAGGGAGGAGACAAAGGGTGATGGTAGAGGATTGTTTTTCGGACTGCAGGCCTGTGACTAATGGTATGCTGCAAGGATCGGTGCTGGGTCCACTGCTTTTCATTTATATAAATGATTTGGATGTGAATATAAGAGGTATGGTTAGTAAGTTTGCAGATGACACCAGAATTGGTGGTGTGGGGGACAGTGAAGAAGGTTATCTCAGAGTACTTTGATCAGATGGGCCAATGGGCTGAGGAATGGAGGGTTTGAGTTATAAGGAGAAGCTGGATAGGCTGGGTGTTATTTCACTGGAGTGTAGGAAGTTGAGGAGTGACCTTTATAGAGGTTTGTAAAATCATGAGGGGTATAGATAGGTGAGTGGCAGGTTTCTTCCCCAGAGTTGGGGATTTCAAGACTATTTTTTAAAGTGAGAGGGGAAAAAAAATTAAAAAAGATATGAGGGGCAACTGTTTTTTTACACAAGTGGTTCGTATGTAGAATGAACTTTCAGGAGAAGTGGTGGATGTAGGTACAGTTACAACATTTAAAAGATATTTTGATAAGTAAGTGAATAAGAAATGTTTGGAGGGGTGTTGGCCAAATGCTGGCAGGTGGGACTAGTTTAGTTTGGGTACATAGGGTACATGGACTGGTTGAACTGAAGCGGCCTGTTTCCGTGTTATGTCTCTATGACTTTGACAGATAGAGTTTAATTTAGATAAATGTGAGGTGTTGCATTTTGGTAACGCAAACCAGGGCAGGACTTGTACAGTTAATGTAGGTCCCTGGGGAGTGATGCCAAGCAAAGAGACCTTGGGGTACAATGCATAGTACCCTGAAGGTGGAGTTTCAGGTAGACAGGGTGGTGAAGAAGGCATTTGGCGCACTTACCTTCTTTGGTCAGTGCATTGGGTATAGGAGTTGGGATGTCATGTTGCAGCTGTACAGGATACTAGTGAGACCACTTTTAAAACACTGCATTCAGTCCTGGTCTCCTTGCTATAGAAAAAATTTTGTTAAATCTTTTCTGAGCCCTTTCAAATTTGCAAGGATATTGATGGGATTGGAGGGTTTGAGGTATAGTCTGGGGCTATTTTCCTTGGAGTGTCTGAGACTGAGGGGTGACTTTATAGAGGTTTATAAAATCGTAGGGGGCATGGACAGGGTGGATAGCCAATGTCTTTTTCCCAGGGTAGGGGAGACCAAAACTAGAGGGCATAGTTTTAAGATGAGAGGGGCAAGATTTAAAAGGGACATAAGGGGCAAGTTTTTCACACAGAGGGTGGTACCTGAACTTCAGTGGATACAAGCCTAGCCTATCCTAAATTTTCCTTGTAAGATACCCATCCATTCCAGGTATTTAATCTCCAAACCGCTGCCAATGCATTCACACCCTTCCTTAAAGAAGGAGACCAATGCTGTATGCTGTACTCCAGAGGTAATAGGAAAAGAAATGAGGGGGAAGGAAATAGACAGTGAGGAACAAGTAACAGGTGAAGGAGGAGCACCCCCAACCAGCCCCATCCCCTGTGACTTTCCCCATGCCAGTATCTTTACTGAAACTGAGAGGACCTTTTAGGGACCTTGTCCAAGCTGAGTACTGCCGGCCTGAGCATTTATTCCATACACAACAGATTGAAACTTTGCATAGTGAATTGAGAGACTTCTTTACTGTCTTCCTCAGAGCTGCCTGCAACGATCATTCCGGGCCCAAGTCTACACTTGTCCTGCCTGTCGCCATGAGCTTGGAAAGGATTACAACATGGTTCCCAACAAGATTCTGCAGTCCATTCTGGATCAGTTCTTTCCAGGATATAGCAAAGGACGATGACACTCAATTGCGCAGTTTGTCTCCCATCTGCACAAATTTGTACAGGGGAGGGAAGGCCGGGGTAGGGGGAGAGAATTAAAACAAATGTCAGTAATGGATCAATAGGACCTGAAGGTATACAACTTGAGACCGTCATTTTAGCACATCTAATATTTCTTCCCCACTTGGTCCATCTGTAATACTTCATTACGCTGTGCATAATACAGCATATTCTTCTTTCCCATTGACTGTCTAGTAACACCTAAGGTAGTTTCCTTTGCCAACACATAGGCTCAGCCTCGTAAGGTAAATGGTCTGATGCTAGACTCATGTTTTTTAAAACTACCTCAAGACAGTGGAAAGGAATTTGTGGGAAGTTTTCAGTCTAAAAGAAGTCCAGCTACACACTGCCTCTTTGAATCAATATTATCTGTGCCTGGTCCATAATGCTTGGTTTTGAAATGTAATAGCACTGAAAATTATAACTGATTTAAAGTAATTCTGTGGTGACTATATCTCTCTTTACCTTGATTTTATAATGTTGCTATTTTGAAAAAAAAATCTAAAATGTTAAAAAAAATCAGCAAGTTTAATGGGCTTTCTTGTGAGGTTGAGTGTGCATTCTGTTATATTTTGAATGGTTTGACTACTAATGGCTTTTAAGGTTAATTATGTAACATTGTACCTACATTAGTGTTCAGTAATTTCTGTATTGTTATTTGCATATCTAAATGCAAAAGAAATAAAAAGCACTTCTAGTCAAACAGAATACATCATGTAAAGAAAATACATTTGTTATTACTGAATATGCCACTTTTAGTATTTTAGTCACACATATTATAACTAGATTATTTGTATGTGACAATTATGTCTGTATCAGTGTTAAAACAATTCTAGCTTTGAGGGGGTGGGAGTAGAAAAACACTTCATATTGTCATTTTGAGATTTGATATATATTCCTTGACCAGTACTTACCAATAAACATGTTAACATTTGAAATGTTTTTGTTGATTTGACTTGAGTTATTGGAAATTTGTATACTGAAATGCAGAAACAAAAGCAGAAATGGCTTGAAACACTCAGGAGGTTTGGTAGCATCTGTGGAGAGAAAGCAGTGTTAACATTTTGGGTCTAGTGACCCTACTCCAGAATGAAATGCAATCTGGTCTGAAATCTTTTGAAAATGTATGGCAGCTTTGAAATTTTTTTTTAATGAGTTGCAAATGCTGAAAATTAGGAGTAACAATGACAAGCAGGCACAAACACAACAGATCGATCAATATCTCGAAAGGAAGGTTACACCATCCTGAGAACACAGTGGCATTCTTCTATCAAGCAAAGCACCCTCACGTATATCTTCCACCCACAGATAATCATTGTTCTAAACCTTACAAGTTGCAGATTTGGGAGGTGATGTTGAATACTCAGTTCCTCTGGTGTATTTCTTAGGTAGAAGAAACTTTGTGCCAGTGTTGAAGGAGTGTATATTTGACTTGTTGGATGGGGTTCACTGTTCTGCCCTGGATGGTGTCAAGTTTCTGGAATGTTGCAAGATCTGAAGTCATCCAGGCAATTGTGTTATTATGTGTAACATGGGTTTGACATAAATTCACACAATGCCTTTTCTCCTCTCAATTCCCTCTGAGACACAGTTTTCTGAACAAAGATCTGTCTGCTAATAGTGCTACTTTGAAAGGGAAAGCACATTAGCAGACACTGAATTTGCAGAACAATTGGTAAATTCTATTTTTCATTGAAAGAGGAACTTTACACTTTGCTGTGGAAAATTGAGACATGACTATATCAGATTTCTCTCTTGCTGCCAGCACGTTGCTGGCACAGAGTGCAGCATAGATAACTTTGCATTTATTCTTTCATGAGATGTTAGTATCACTGATAAGGCGAGCTTTTATTGGCCATCCCTAATTGCCGTTGAATGGAATGGCTAGCCACACCGTTTCAGATGGCGATTACGAGTGAACCACACATCTGGGTGTGGAGACCCGACCCAGATATGGATGGCAGAATCCCTTCCTTAAGGGACATTGGTGTTAAGCCAACCACAGCCGGTGCATATAAAATAGCAACACAAACAAGAAAAACAATCATAAAATTACTTGGGTTTGGAAGTTGGGGGATACTTAAACTGTAACTAATGAAGGCTTCTGAGCTCTTTATTGATCCCTTGAATTAAATGTGAATGAGGATGGTGGTATGTACAGTGGGAACCTGTATATAATGGGGCAGATTTCTGCAGTGACATGAACAGAGAATTTCATAGCAGGTTTCTGTATGGGCTTCTTGTGTAATCAGTGCTGGATCTGCTAAGTAGATCATTAGCCTTGGGTGAGTTTATAGGAGATAAGGACATTTCCTACTCAGGCTTGCTCAGAAGAATTAAAATATGTGAAATAAGCAGGAAGCAAAAAATTTGGTCATGTCAAAAATTTGAATGCAGTCAAATTGATGCTACAGGGAGATCTAGGAAGGTCAAACTTAAGAATAGTAAAGAAGCAGCCAGGAGAAAACATTTTTTACTTCTCTCACTCACTTAACTCTACCTTTGCCATCTGCTGTTAAAGGGATAGTGCAAATCATGAGGACAAAGTCTTAAACTAAAAGGACAGAGACAGGACAAAACTACAATTAATTGACTATTTCAATCCTTTCTTCAAGAAAGCAAATCACTTTGGGGGACAGGATTTGAAGACTTAAAAGGCAGCAAGTTTGCAAATAGTTCAGTCTGACATGCTCCTGATTAATGTGTAATTATACATCAGAATATTGTCCATCTCATTGATGTGTACAGAAGGGCAAGTAGAACAACTGCCCTGTACATCATGAGCTTGGTGTCAGGTCTGAGGGCCTCGTCGACAACACTGTTTCTAAGCTGGCTAAAGTCTGCCTTGCATACTGGAGCTGATGTTGAATATCTGTGGAAAGGAGGCTACCAAGGTATGAAAATTAAATCACATTATTAAATCAGTGGCTCACTGTGGACCTTGACACACACAGACTATAGGTGTGAGGCTGGAAGAGCATGGCAGGTCAGACAGCATCCGAGGAGCAGGTAAGTCAATGTTTCGGGCCAAAACCCTTCATCAGGACTGGGGAATGGGAGGGGAGCCCAGAAATAAATAGGAGAGGCTGGGCTGGTGGAAGGGTTGGAGAGATGATGATAGGTGGATGCAGGTAGAGGCTAGTTATTTAGCCGTGGGAAGGGTGGAGTGGATAAGTGAGTGGGAAGATAGACAAGTTAGGTCAGGTCAGGAGGAGGAAGGGCTGGACATGGGATAGGGGTGGAGGGATTTTGAAGCTGGTGAAGTCAGTGTTAAGGCCATTGAGTTGTAAGCTCCCAAGGCAAAATATGAGATGTTGTTCCTCCAGTTTACGTTTGGCTTCACTCTGACAGTGGAAGAGGCTAAGGATGGACATGTCGTAAGGGGAGTGGGAAGGGGAATTAAAACGGATAGCAACTGGAAGGTCAGGTAGGTTGTTGTGTGCAGAGTGCAGATGCTCTGCGAACTAATCCCCGAGTCTGCATTTGGTCTCTCCGATATAGAGAAGATCACCTCAAGGGCGATGGATGCAATAGATAAGATTGGATGAAGTGCAGGTGAATCTCAGCCGGATCTGGAAGGATTGTTTGGGGCCTTGGACAGAGGTGTGGCACCTCTTGTGCTTTAGAGAAAGGTACCAGGCGTGGTGGAGGAATTGGTTGGGAGTGTAGAGCTGATGAGGGAGTCATGGAATGAACGGTCCCAGCGGACAGGGTGGGGAGGGAAATATCTTTTTGGTGGTGGGGTCTGATTGTTGGTGGTGGAAATGTCAGAGGATGGTGTGTTGGATCTGGAGTCTGATGGGGTAGTATGTGAGGACTAAGGGGACTCTATCCTTATTGCTGTTGGTAGTAGGGGGTTTGAGGACAGAAGTGCGGGAGATGGAGGAGATGCAGTTGAGGGCATCCTTAATTACAGAGGAGGGGAAATTACGGTCCCTAAAGTAGGAGGATGTAAAGTAGTAGGAAGTAGGAATGTCCTGGAGTGGAATGCCTCATCCTGGGAGCAGATGTGGCAGAGGCGGAGGAATTGGGAGTATGGAATAGCATTTTTGTAGGAGCATGGGTGAGAGGAGATGTAGTCGAGATAGTTCTGGGTGATGGAGATGGAGAGGTCCAGGAAGGAAAGGGAGGTGTCAGAAATAGTCCAGGTGAATTTGAGGGTCAAGTGGAAGGTGTTGGTGAAGTTGATGAACTGCTCGAGCTCCCTGCAGGAGCACGAGGCTGCACCAATGCTGTTAACAATATAGTGGAGGAAGTGGTGAGGGATGGTGCCAGTGCTGTTGCAGAAGAGGGCACTGTTCCACGTATCCTACACAAGCAGACATAGCTTGTGCCCATGCAGGTGCCCAGAGCCATCCCTTTGTAGGAAGTGGGAGGAATTGAAGGAGAAATTGTTGGGAGTGAGGACAAGTTCAGCCAAGCAAATAAGAGTGCCAGTGGAGGGAGACTGGTTGAGTCTACTGGACAGGAATAAGTGGAGGGCTTTTAAGCCCTCCGTGTGGGGGAGTACAGGTGTACACGGACTGTACTTGCATGGTGAATAGGAGGTGTCGGGGGCTGGGAAATTGAAAGCTTTGGAAAAGGTGGATAGAGTGGGTTGTGTCACAGATGTAGGTAGGAAGTTTCTAGACCAAAGTGGAAAGAATGGAGTCGAGGTAGGAGGAGATGGGTTTGGTGAGGCAGAAGCAGGGAGAGAAAGTGGGTCAACCGAGGGAGTCAGGTTTATGGATTTTGGGGAGGAGATAGAAACGGGCTGTGCAGGATTGGGGAACTATCAGATTGGAGGCTGTGGATGGGAGATCTCGAGAGGTGATGAGGTTGTTGCTGATTAGTGTTCCAAGGTGCGCTCTAGTCTCACTTCTTTGATAGGTGCCTTCAAGGTTGTCTGAAGTGAAAACAGTGCAGCATCCTTCCCCTTTCTTAGGTGATGCTACCCTTCTCTTGGCACACTATGGAGCGTCTCAATGAATGTGCCCATACTCCCTCTCTTAAAGCATGGGAAAAGCTACAGAAGTAACTTCGGGAACACAAATTTTGTCCTTTCAGATCAACAGCAGGATATTGGACCCATGACAGCCACAAGGCAGACACCATCCAGGTAATTACTGAAAGTCATGTGAAGAGGTGGCTGGTATCTATACAATGTGTAGGAGCTGAAGGCTGTCTCCCCGGCTGAAGACTCCATTGCCAAGCTAGGCATTTCAGTACATGAGGTGGGCAAAGTACCTGAGAAGTGAATCCCACCATTCCTCAGGTGCTGGGGATGGCTATTAGGGAATTATGAGCATTTGTGCACCATGCATGGTACTGGAAACTTATTTACTGAGGATGTATAGCCCTTTGCAACAGTACACAGTAGGATCATTAACATTACACAGGACTGAGAAAGGGGCCAGATTGGGTGTAATGGCAGCAGATTAGACATCACAGACCTGTGGGAGCCTTCCCCCAGAGGGAGTGCTCCTTGTTCGCTTCTCCGAGGATCACCACCTTATTGTGGTGGAGAGGTTTGTGCATATCCAGGAACCCAAGAGCTAAACCATCTGGAGCATAGTCCCTGGCAGGGTCATCCATGATGGTAAAGTCAAGGGGGGCATTCCAGACAAAGCACAATCCACAAAGAACTTGATGACTGAGCATTTGGAGGATGATCGCTGAACTTCAATTAGAGCATCACAATGGTTGCAAAAGTGAATGAAGTCTACAACAGAGAAGGGCCATCAGTTGTCTTAGTCACCATGCCATTGGGATGTGACCTCCATCTGCCAAGGTCTGTGTGACGGCTGTCTGTGCACCAGCCTCACCATATTATAAGATGTCACAAACAAGCACCCTCCCAAGAGGTACTAGTTCTACTTACATTCCAGACAAAAGTCCTATGGTGATCAGTTAGTGGCAGAGAGGGCACGACTGTAATATCTGGAAGCCCCTAGCCACA